AACTCTGAATGGTTGTCTTATTTCTGGATCAAATTCGGCGTCACGTCCGTAATTTTTTTGACAATAGAGTGAATGTTAAATGTTAATATTACCAATACCAAATCCATACAATACCGACGGATATTTAGCAGCAAAATGATTGTAGCGTTCCACCTCCTCTTGGAAAGCGTCAAATGAAACAACCCGATAAAAGCACGTCGACACGGACAGAACCTCCAGACTTTTTTATTTCCTCTCAGAATGATCAGACGTTTTAACAGCGCGACTTATGTTGTCAAGAACAAACCCAGTGTCACCGCGAGAGGCCTTTCCCAGTCCCCCGCCGCTATCGAGAAATAAAACAGCAACACAAAACGAAGAGACGGGATCCAGGTTCAAACGCAGCTGCAGAGGAAGGCTCTCCGGCTGTGAGCTGCCCATTCTGGAGCTATTCCAACGGAAAGGAACGGAAATCTTAAATATCGCCGTGGAGAAATATTTGAAAATGTGACCCAATTTTTATACAGCGCTCTGCTCTGGTTTGATAAGACGCAGAGGTGACTGGATTTAAGGAGTGTGTGTGAGGTGAGGACAGAACGGCGCTAACGCAGAAATTGTGGCTAAAAATAGAGCTGTTGGCAAATGATATAGAATGGGCTGATGTCCTGTTTCCACTGTATGTTGCTGGATTAGATGCTGTACACTGGTCCCTCGTTTATCGCAGGGTTTGGTTCTTAAAATATCCCAGTATAAGTTAAATCCACAAATAGAAGATGTTTGTTTTAGGGTGTAAAACCTCTCAAACACACTTTATACACTTTTCTTATCAGCAGATCTTCACGGATGCTGAAGAGAGAGAGACCAGAGATATCAAAGCTGTTGGTTGTAGGTCTGAGAGTGCTGCTGCAGCTGTCAATAGCTGTGCATACACTGTAAATAAAAAAACAGCTGCAGAGGACACTGATGGGCAGGAGCAGAACTGAGTGCGACGGGAAGACCAGAGAGAGAGACCAGAAAGAGACCAGAGAGAGACCAGAGAGAGACCAGAAAAAGATCACAGACGGAGACCAGAGAGAGACCAGAATCACAGTGGCGCATAAGAAGCACGCTGTAAAAAAAAAAAAAAAACTAATTTGCACTAAAAAAAATGTATTGTCTGTTTTTTTTGTCTGTGTCTGCGTTGATCTGGACCATAAGTCTGTAATAAAGTTATCTTTCCATCTGAAAAATCTGAGGACAGTGACGCTGCGTAAAGGTGAACCGTCCTATTGCGAGGGAACACTGCAGAATGGACCACCGCAAGTATTTACATCGTTTTAAAATCACTTTTGCAGTTTTGAAATAGGGATTGCCTTAAAGCTGGGGTGCCTAACTTATGTAAAAAAATGGGATTACTCTGTGTAGTAAAATCCATCTTTGTGAAAATAATCCTTGCTCTCAAAACAGTTTGGTTCCATCACTACTTTTCACAAGGCTGTATTGTATTTCTGACGAAGGGCCTCAGCCCGAAACGTTACTATTTTGTGTGGTATGTAAATAAATTACACTGTTTTTGGGAGCTACATAGCTGTGCGGATTATTTTTCACTGTTTTCTACGTCTTGCATTTTTTAATCCAGCACGCCAGCTCAGATTACAGGGATGTGCGGCCTTATTTGACATTTTCTTGTATTGTATTTCTGGCCTCATTATGGGTCTCATCTTAACATCAGATTTTTGAGGCAGAAAAGTGAATAACAAGAGGTTCACCTTAACTCAGCCAATCAGCATGTTTTTAATGTATTTATGTTTGCATGAGACGCACAGAAAAAGGAATTGAAAATTAGCAAAACAGGCTCCGAAGATGTTTTTGTTTTGACTTGCAGACGTGGCTAAAGGGCTTTCTCTGCTTTGCACCACTTTTCCTCTCTATAATTATAAACTATCGCAAAACTGTTACACTCTTTTGGGTCGTTTGATTTTCTTATGGGAAATTGTTCCACTTTTTTCACACAGTTAAAATAATAATGTATAAGTGCATTCATTAAAAGATCTAGGTGCTTTTTCTAAGTGCTAACAGTTTATAACAAGTTTTAAAACAGTTCTTTAGCAAATTATTATACGTTTTTGGTCGCAGGTTTTGTGGCATGTACATGTAAAAAATAAAAATCCTCTGCATTTGATCCACTCTTTTATTTTTTGTGGTGGGAGAAACTGTGGGGAGCAGCAAGAGGAAACGTACACAGACACAGGGAGAACATGCAAACTCCACTCAATTCACATAGATACTCACACACTTTGAAACGCACACAACCACACAAACACAACACGCAAACTCACATGCACATGCGCACACCCAAACCCACGCATACAACACACACACGCACATGCACACACCCATACCCACAGGCACACACACCCATATGCACACACACATACATACACGTGCACACACCCATACCCATACATACGCAGGCACACACACACACACACACCCAAACCCATACCCATACATACACACACACCCACATGCACGCACCCCTACCCACACACACCTGCATATGCACATGCACACACACAGACACACCCGCATGCACACACCCGTACCCACACATACCCATACTCGCATGCACACACACACACACACACACCCACATGCACACACCCATACCCACACACACCTGCATATGCACAGGCACACTCACAGACACACACCTACATGCACACACCCGTACCCATACATACACACACACACACACAACTACAAGCATTTGTAATCCATAGTATATGTATTTTTAAATCAAGTCAACTCGAGGTTACAACAAACGAGACGAACATATTTCTTTTAACAGTTGAATTATTTTTGATGCGTTCTTGTAAAATACCGTCTCGCTGGTGACACGACTTAGTGCCTATAATTAAAGAAAGATAATGTATTGCTTTTGACAGCAGTTTTGGTAATGGGCTCGGCGTTCACCATCTGGCCACTCTGTCATTCAGACTCTGCTTTAATATGGAGAAAGAACATGACGCCGCTGTGTGAAGGATGGTCCCCAGAGGATTTCAATTGCTGGAATCTCATTGTGCAGAATTGTTCACACTTTGGAATGTTGAATATTCTGGAAAAAATATGTTGGATATTACAGCTGTCTTACTGGAGCTTTGATTGAAGAGTTAATTTGCAAAAACAGATAACATTTAAAGACGTTTATTAACATTGAAGAACATGTATTAACCGTTAGGGACATTTATTAGAATTCAAGGACATTTATTATAATTTAACCTTTTTAGACTGTGGTCATCCCGCTCCCTATAGACCAATGCATTTGTTATAATTACAATTCCTGTGTATTTAATCTGAACTAATGGCTGAATCATGGATCTATAATAATAACTGGATAGGGTATTACTAGCTTACTGCTGTCCCACCCATGGGCACAGGGGGCGCCGTGGTACTGCAGACTAAATTCATGTACCAGAAAAAAGTCCCATAGAACTCAATGTAAACTAAAACGGCTCGACCTCAGCTGACAGAGAACCTACAGCTTTCATAAACATCGGATTTTGTGGGGATTTTTGTGTCCCTTGTCTTCTTTAACTATTTTTCTTCTTGAATCTTTCGGTTTTCTTTAAATCCACACTTTACTGCCACAAACTCTGCTGTTTTCCTTCTGACTCCGCTCTACCACAGCTCTGATTGGTCAGAGCGTGGCCGAGCTCCTCTGTGCACGTGCATGAGAGCCACACACACGTATTTGGCGCAAAGCATCATGGGAGATCATCCACTGCGCAGAACTGGGAGGACCAGACGAGGCCCAAATATGGCCGAGTTCCTCTGATATGTCAGCGCCCGTGAAGTTCCATGCGCTACCGAGCAAAAGCCATTCATTTGAATAGGACGCCATCTTGGATCACCGGGGCTTGGGCTGAATCAACAACTTTGTCCAATCCTCCAAGACAACTGCTGCTGTGACTTAGGGCTTTACAAAAATCTTGAATTGAATTGAAAAGTGTAGAATGAAGCCATGGTGTAGATATTTAGTTAATTAGTACTTGGTTTTATTTTAACTTTGGGTCTCTGTGGGTTTTGTTTTACTTTGACTTCCTGTTCCCCTGTTGATTCTGTGCCCCGCCCTCATGTGTTTCATGTACCTGTGCTCAAGCCTATTTGTTTCTGGTCCATTGTCTTTTTCGTCTGTTTTCCTGGTTCCTGAGTTTCCTTTGGATTTTGTGTTAGTTTTTTTTTTTTCCTTCATTCATTAAATCCTTTTTTTTTCATTCTTCTGGGTCCTTTCTTGATTTCTCCTCCTGTCGTATGGATCATAAATCACACACATTTCTTTCCCATACTTTCTTACTCTTACATGATATTATTTGCAATTTTACTTTTTACTTTTACAACATTTCTCCTTGGTTAAAAATACCCCGCTCTTCCCCTCTCTCTTCCTCTCTCTCCCTCTCTTCCCCTCTCTTCCCCTCTCTTACCCCTCTCCCCTCTCTTCCCCTCTCGTCTCCTCTCTCTTCCCCTCTCTTCTCCTCTCTCCCCTCTCTTCTCCTCTCTCCCCTCTCTTACCCTCTCTCTTCCCACCTCTTCCCACCTCTTCTCCTCTCTCCCCTCTCTACTCTCTCTCCCCCTCTCTCCCCTCTCGTCCCCTCTCCCCCCTCTCTTCCCCACTCTCCTCTCTCTTCCCCTCTCTACTCTCTCTCCCCCTCTCTCCCCTCTCGTCCCCTCTCCCCCCTCTCTTCCCCACTCTCCTCTCTCTTCCCCTCTCTACTCTCTCTCCCCCTCTCTCCCCTCTCATCCCCTCTCCTCCCCTCTCCTCCCCACTCTCCTCTCTCTTCCCCACTCTCCTCTCTCTTCCCCTCTCCCCCCTCTCTTCCCCACTCTCCTCTCTCTTCCCCTCTCCCCCCTCTCTTCCCCACTCTCCTCTCTCTTCCCCTCTCTTCCCCTCTCTCTCCCTCTCTTCCCCTTTCTTCCCTTCTCTCCTCCTCTCTCCCCTCTCTCTCTCCACCTCTCTCCCCTCTCTCTCTCACATGTAATAAATGGCCCACTCCCCCGTCCCGTTGGTGTCAGGCCCGGCCCACACAGCCCACACAGAGCCCCCTCCCGCGGTGTCGGTCGCTCACAGTTTGTGATGTGACATATGTTTGCTAATGCGCTGCTATCTGGTCCTCCGTCTCTCTGTGGTGTCTCTGCTTCCTGTCAGCGCAGCAGCTGCTTCCTGTCCGTGGAGCTGCTGGAGTCCTGATCCGTCCAAACAGTGACATGCTCGCAGCGTTCTGCTCCATCACCGCCACAAGCTGCAGAATTGTGCTTTTTTTGTGCCTTTTGGCCAGTTTTTACATGTTGTTCCACAACTGGAGTTGTTTTTATCTCAGTCAAATGTCAGGTGCACACATCGGACCATCCTCCTTTATACCTTTAAAGTAGCGATGTGTAAGATTTTCATGTAAAGTCATCATTAAAGTGCCCTAATCTGTCAAAAGGCATTAATCAACCATGCTCTCTTCCATTACTTCTTTAACTAATAACAGTTGTTCAGAGATAATTGAATTCCAAAATTACTGTTTTCATTTCGATGTCCCGCCCTCCACCGTTTCACCAATCAAGTCCGTGATCCGGGTTGCCAGAACTCACTGTGTCGAGCTAATCTCACTGGTAAAGTACCATGTGGCCACAGAACTAAAAAGGTCTTGTTATGATTCTCAAATAATTCATAACAAAACAAGGAATAAAACGAGGATTCATATCGGGGCTTTTGTGAAAAAGGTGTTGGTTATAGATTTGTTGTTGACAAAACTCTTGTCTATTCAGATATTATGGTCCCAGCTAGATTCGTCTGCATACCTGGCAACCCGAGTCAGGGAGAGTGGGAGACATTTGTAGTACCACTTTTGTCCAGATTTATTATGTACTGCTCCTTTAAGTTTTAGACTGTGTTAGGCTTTTCCCCGCGCTTTGATCAGAGGTGACTTTTTGCCTCGTCGTAGCCGTAACATCCTGAAGTGTGGAGAGCGCCTTTATTCCAGCCGGGTTTGGTTTCTACTTGTCAGGTTTTTTTCTCCACACGCTGCTTCTACATGGTGTCTCCTCTGGTTCAACAGTCCTGCAGCCTGTGCAGTAATGAACCAGTACTTTTACATCACTGTCACCAGCCCACGTTGTTTTTTATAATGACCTCCTCTTACGACCGCACTGACATGTTTGACACAGGTTAAACCAGACGCTGTGTCCCTGTGTGGAGTTTCTGCAGAATAGAGCGATCTGACGCAACAACCAAGACTCTGCAGTAAGGAATCTCGTGGGGTAAAAATAAGAATGAGCGTTTTGATAATTAAAGTAAAGAACCTTCATAAGGGCTTGAATCATAATCGTTTTTTTAACTGAACCTAATTACCAACGGAGCAAATATGTCTCAACCCGCACTCGAAGAAGATGATTATGGTTCTAACTGTCCATGTACTTGAGAAATCATTTCCTGCTGACGCAGGAGGGTATAAGGTCTATGTGATGATCCCAGACACTTAAGGACATTTGTGATCATGTTTTACATTGGCCATCCTGCTTTTTTAATTGAAATTGAATTACATCTTTACAGTACGGAAAGATAGAAGCAAGACTGAAACAGTGTATAAACCAGATGTGTCCAACTCTTTTTAGGTTGTGGGCTAAATTTAAAAACTTGAGAGCTGATTGGGGCCAACAGTGTTCTTTTTGAACATTTAAAAAAAAATATATATACAGTATATACTGTATATTTAATTTTGACATTCTTTTCATTTACATTAGTTTGGCTATTATATTCTATCACTAAATGTTGATTAGAATTATAGAAGAGATTATATTTTATAATTCTATAACTGACGTTTTAAAATTAACTTTAACATGCCATAGTATCCTATTACGGGCCGGATTTGGCCCACAGGCCTGAGTTTGACACACCTAAAATAAACTATTACATTTGTTGGGGATTCAAAAACAACATTGGAACTTGAAAATCTTTAATTATAAATGTACCAGGAATTGTTTTTGGTTTTTATGTGCAATGCTGTTCAAAGCAAGAAATTCAACAATAAAAACACACAGAGCCATTGGTCCATTAGGGGCAAATGACCAAGGCTCATAAATGTTGTTGAATGTGGAGTGTCCTGGATCATCACCACTGTCCTTTGACCCTTCTGCATCTGCATCTGCAATGAACAACTAAGATACAGAGTGTGTTTAGTTCCACTTTATTTGTGGTATGAAACTTAGGTACCTCAGCTTTAGATGCAAAACGTCTGCATTCTCCTTTGGCTAAATCCACTTGTTTTGCTGTTGTGTCCAGGACTTTGCAGACTCGGTTTTCCACCTGGTGAAGGAGAAGTTCCGCTCTCTGGTGGGAGGCTGCGGCCCAGCGCTGAGCCGACACAAGTCTCTGGCTGGAATCGTCATGACCCGAGGTACGAAGTGACCACCCACTGAGATTCAGGAAGTAACCATCACAAATCAAATCCCTCATAGGAGTTCCACACATCCAACTCACTCTGGCTCCTATTGATTTAGGGAGAAAAGTGAACTCCTCTCGCTCAGTAACCAATTTGGGCTTAAAAAATCTGTGTGTTTATATTTTGTTATTGTCTGTTTAAAGAGGTAGCTTCAAGAGGACCGGAAATGGTCTTCAGCAGTCTTGAAGGAGTTCCCAGAGATGCTTAGCACTTGTTGGCCCTTTCGCCTTCACTCTGTGGTCCAGTCCCAAAACCATCTGGACTGGGTTCAGGTCCAAAACCACCTGGATTGGGTTCAGGTCCGGTAACTGTGGAGGCCTGTTTGCACCATCACAATCACTCTCCTTATTGGTCAAACAGCCCTTACACAGCCTCGTGTGAATCTACAGTCAGTAGTCTTGAAAAGGAAGGAAACTTTGAATGAGAAAGTGTGTTCAAACTTTTGGTCTGTACTCTATATTTTAAAAACTATAACAAAATCATACAGGAAGGAAGCTTTTATATGCCTAAACATTTGTTTTTTTATGGTCATTTGATTAAATAAGTTTGGCACATATTGGCACAAAGTGTCCCAAATAAAACCAAATGGCACTAGTTTATGTAAAAGAGCAACTGCCTCAAAACTATAAACAGTTGTTGCCAACTATAAAATGACCATAGGATTTGAATATTCTGAGCCTTTGTTCGGGTTTTTATAAATATAATATTTTAGGTGAAGCTAAAAGAAAAGTGTTTTTTCCCAAACTTCAAAGGATGCAGATGGAAATATTAAGAACACACATTATTCTAGTTTATAGTTACATAAACTAGAAGGCTCTAGCTTTATCATGTTGCATCACACAAGCATGTGATGTGTAAGATGTATTTTTAAATATGCAACGACATTTTTTTCCCAGCTTTTGTGCCAAAATGAGGTGGGTGTTAAGAGGTTCCAGGGCAGATGATCAATGAGTGTATATAATATATTTTAAGCGCAAGGAAAACCTTTTTTTCCAGTGATTACTTTAATATTTAAATTAAATTATGCAATAAAAATGATGAAAAATGATATACGTATAAAAAGCTTTTGGTAGTGGTGGAGTAAGGGTGTTGGGGAGCTGTGTCCTGTATTAGTTGAATTATTGACAATGTGAATTCTCAAGAGAAGAATTGGACTCGGTGTCAGTCATGGAGCTGCCCGGACTTTGGGAACATCTCTGACAGGAAATCCTAACGAGACCCAACACCAGAAACATGAGGAGGGGAACGCATCCGTACTTTTAAACAGGTTTAAGAGACAAAGAAAGAAGTTTCTGGTGGAGAAAATATATTGTTATGTGACATTTAAATGCTTGAAATCAGATACTTTTGTTTAAATGCTGATGTAAAATGTAAAACAGTTTCTTATCAGGCTTGAATTAGTTGAAAAAAACAATCTGCATTTGGCATTAGGCAACCAGAAAACACCGCAGCAGCATGTGGAGGAGATGTGGAAGAAACAGAGCAAAAAGAAACCAGACTGGAATGTTCATGGAAAACACAATATGAATATATCTCAAACCAAAAGTCTGGTCAACTGTTCCACGTGTAACTTTGTTCTGTGAGAAACAACTTGCTTCACTCGTTCTTAAAGCAGAGGTACTTACAGTAGGACTTGCTGCCATTTCCAGCGCAGTCAAAAGTAAACGTTGTGGCTACATTAGTAGTTTAAGAGAATGTATAACAAGAACGGCTGAGTCTGTACAAGTGCCACTGATAATAATTCACTCGTACTTTGTCACTAGTCACTTTACTTGTTATTATTATTACATATCCATCCACCTGATATTTCTGTCATTCACTAGCCACTTTATCTGTTGGTATTACTACTATTGTTTATTCTACTAAGTACATTATACACATCTGTAAATACTTCTGAACCAAGTGCAATTATAGCTCCAGAGTTTATTTTAATTTATTCTATTTTACCATTTTATTATCTTATTTTAATGATTTTGTCTAATATCTTAAATAATCGACCCTATTTAATGTGTGCAATCTGAGTGCTCTTATGTCCTGGGACGAATAAGGGAATACAGTACAGTATCACAGCCGACCCCTCTCACCCTGCACATGGACTATTCCAACCACTCCCCTCAGGCAGGAGGCTGCGGTCCATCAGGACTAGAACCTCCCGCCACAAGAACAGTTTCTTCCCCTCTGCTGTTGGACTCTTGAACACTTCTTAACCTTAACCCCCGCCCTTTATAAAGTCACTTTATAATCATACGTCACTTTACTTCACTGTACTGCTGTCACCTTACATTGTGTGCACCATGTGCACTTGTATATTGTATATAGTAACTGTAACTCTATTTTAAATTTAAATGTATTCTTTAGAAGTGTTTTTTATTCTTATTTTTATTATATCTTTTTGACTGTTGCACTGAGCCAAAGCAATTTCCAAGTCTGTGACCTCCTGTTACTTACGTGGCAATAAAAATGATTCTGATTCTGATTCAGTATATTATCCTATCACCACCATGTGAAATGTCTTTGAGTAGTACATTCTATACATTCAACAATCTTTGTACAGTATGTCCTGCTTTTCTATAGCTGCACTTGTCCAGGCACAGGAGTGAAAGGTGAGAAACTTAGAGCTGGGTTCACCAGATTGTAACAAACATGAGTCAGAGGAAGCAGTAGCACAGACATAAGCTTGCTGTAAAATCATTCCTTTCTATAAAGCTGACTTTTTTGTCTATAATAAAAACACATTTAGCTTAGTCCCATCAGACAGTACAATGCACAAATCAGAAAACTGCATGCTGCCTTTATCTTAAAGCTGCACTAACTGACTTTATTTTTGTATTCATTACAAAAGTGCTATCCATGTCCATGTAGTGCATTGGGATATATGTCCTTTTGAAGAAAAAGTAGCGCAGGTTTGTGCTGGCGTGACATTATATTTTAGATCGAGTTTTGATGAAACAAGGAAGAGAATGTGTTTCGGGTCGCAGATTGTGACCAATCACAGCGGACCACTGGCCCCCACTTTCGTGAGAAATCTACAGGTCCGTTAGCATAGACGGCTGAGTTAGCACAACAAGCCGAGGAGCTAACCTGAAACTTCGTGTGTCTTCGTCACTGGTTACTGCTTACACAGCGAGACAGCCATCCAAAAGAAAGTCCCGTTCCTCCGCGCTTCCCGGTTCTATCGTTCTATAGTCACGCCATCCACGTGCAAATCCATATCCATGTATTATCCATATTGCGAGACGCTAGCTCCGTCCCAACAGTGGGTGTGTGTGGGGGGCGATAGCTTCGCGGGTGCTGGGAGGGGAGCAGAAAGAGAGAGGCCAGCGAGTCCGCGGCTTCAAAATCCCAAAGTCAGTTAGTGCAGCTTTAACAACAACAACACCAACACAAACAACACCAACACCAACAACAACAACACCACCACCAACAACACCAACAATACCAACAACACCAACAACACCACCACCAACAACACCACCAACAACACCAACACCACCAACAACACCAACACCACCAACAACAACACCAACACCACCAACACCAACACCACCACCAACACCAACACCAACAACACCAACAACAACACCAACACCACCAACAACACCAACAACAAACACAACAACACCACCAACAACAACACCAACACCAACACCAACACCAACACCAACAACACCAACACCAACAACACCACCAACAACACCAACACCACCAACAACACCAACAACAACACCAACACCACCAACAACACCAACAACACCAACAACAACACCAACACCACCAACAACACCAACAACAACACCAACACCACCAACAACACCAACACCACCAACAACAACACCACCACCACCAACAACACCAACACCAACACCACCAACAACACCAACAACACCAACACCACCAACAACACCAACACCACCAACACCACCAACAACACCAACACCACCAACAATAACAACACCACCACCAACAACACCAACACCACCAACAACACCAACACCAACAACACCACCAACACCAACACCACCAACAACACCAACAACAACAGCACCACCAACAACACCAACACCACCAACACCACCAATAACACCAACAACAACAACACCAACAACACCAACACCACCAATAACACCAACAACAACAACACTGTAAAGAACAGCTGTTCTTTACGTGTAATATCGCACTGCACTTTATGAATTTACCTTTTAAATGTCACATCACACTTTAAATTGCACTGTACACATATTGTAACATGCTAATTTTTATTTTTTTTAAATAAAAGCAACACCAACAACACCAATACCAACAACACCAACACCACCAATAACACCAACAACACCAATACCAACAACACCAACACCACCAACACCACCAACAACAACACCACCAACAACAACAGCACCACCTCTAACAACACCAACAACACCAACAACAACAGCACCACCTCTAACAACACCAACACCACCAACAACACCAACACCACCAACAACAACAACAACACCAACACCAACACCACCAACAACAACAACACCAACACCACCAACAACAGCACCACCTCCAACAACACCAACACCACCAACAACACCAACACCACCAACACCACCAACAACAGCACCACCTCTAACAACACCAACAACACCAATACCAACACCACCAACACCTACACCAACAACAACATGCACAAATCAGACCACTGCATGCTGCCTTCATCTTATTAAAAACAATCTTTTTGCATGTGAAAACTAGTGATGGAACAAAACTGTTCGGAGAGTGAGGAACTTGTTATAGATTGATTTCAGTAAAGTATATAGTTCCATATACTGTAGTTCCGTTTGAAAGTGAAGTTTTCCTGCTTCTGCCACACAGACGTTGAATCCACGGATCATTTATTCTGGTCCTGTCCTGTGATGGCAGCATTTTGGATCAACACTTCTAAAATATTTTTTTTTGTGTATTTTACATTTGAACTGTG